GTGACCATATAACATTAAGAGCATTTAAAATATTTAGGAACTCCATAGCCTTTATTCATGAGAACGTAAGAGTTTATAACACATTGGAAATACTTATAAAAGATAGCATGGTGATTTATGATTGAAATAGTGGTTCAAATCATAGGTATTAGTTTAGAACAACAACATTTGAACACCACTTGAGTACATGAGCCTTTTCGGCAAAACTATTTTCGGAGTCAATTTGAAATAGTTAAATCAAGGTTCATTTCATCATCTTTCACACATCATTTCACCTATTGGTACCATTGGCCACAAGTATAACTTTTATTCTTGGCACGGTGGCCACACTTTATATCTCCAACTCACTTCTGTATAGATTATCAACCATAAGAGCATTTGAAATCAAGGCCTTAAGTATATGTATGACAATAGGAGTTTTAGGTGCATTGAGTATTCTTTCCAAATTAAGCATAATGGACTTTCATTTGAAACATGAATTGAAGTTGTAACGCTTTAACACATAAACCATACTTGAACACATTCCCGAAGAAGATCATGGTGAGATAGGAGTAATTGGAACACGTTTTGAGTACATACATCTTTCGACACTTTGCTTACTCGGGATAATCGAATTTATTAAGAACAAATCTAAACATAGGAATTATGGACCTGGGCCAACCGTACTTGAAACTTACAGGAACATCATGGAATTCAATTCTAAGAGAGAAGTTTTAGCCAACATACCTGAAATTCGCTCCTTAATAATATTATGATGGTCCACCACACTAAACAACTTCAATCTACAACAATGCAACACAATTATGCCAATATTAGCAAGATTTCTATACTTTAAGTCATTTAGACTTTTTATCAAACATCTAATGTGCATATTTTTCTACAACCTCTAGTAATGGTGTTTCTTCATCCAATAATCCCTCCTTTCCACTAACAAGAGATACTACAACATCCTTCGTCCACTAACTACCTTCTTAGCACCATTATAATCATCAATGAACTCACATCAACTAAATTTTACTAATTAACTCATTACAAAAAAATCTCTACAACACCCAATTATCTAGGTTAAGAACTTATGGCTTCCAATCACCATCTCATAAGTGCTAGTATTTATTTCTTGCTCGTATATTCACTAACAATCCATGCATGTAGGTTTAAGGGTAAAATATTACCTCTTGTAGACCAAATCTTGAAAGACAACTTTTGGGGTGTTCTTGAATTTTTTTGAGAAATCATATGGAATACAATCAAAACCTTGTTGTAACCAGTGATTGAGAAGTGAAATTATCACAAAAACACACTTAAAAACTCACCTTAGGTGTGTATTGGAAGCCTTGGTCGGATGGGTGATGGAGAGAAAGCCCTAGTCTTGAAGAAATAACTTAGCCACTCTCTCTCCCTGACCTTGGGGGTATTTATAGGGTTCCTACATGCATGTCTGCTCACCTGGGCAAGTGACCGCACATATGGCCGCGCACACAAGGCAGAAAACCCCCCTTCTGTGCGCGGTCGCACATCTGGGCGCGCATATGGCATAGGTCTGGTTCAATGGTCATAACTTTCTATATACATATCCAAATGACAAATGGTTTGATGCGTCAGAAACTAGACTCAAAGATCTTTAATTTGATAGGTATATTACCACTTAAGTCTTTATATTTTGGTAGAGGCATGTATTTGAAATTGAATCTTATGTGAATTTATTTGAAACTTTAGCACATTGCATAGCTCTCAACTTGGCTTAGTTCTAGGGATCTCCTTAGACCCTAACAACATCCAATACACCTCCTACACTTAATATCTTGATAATCTAAGTTTTTCCAGTCCTTAACCTCTCCTGGAAGTCAAGACGATACTTAAGCGACTTATGAGCGTGCTTATGGCTTCAGAGTAATAGGAAATTCGAGGGGGCTCACAATTTTGATCTAGTTATGAAATGCCAAAGTGACCTACTAAAGTAGAATGAGTCATGTGTAAAACCTATCCCTTTGGAAGCATCAAATATGAAAGCACGTATCATTCATAGATGCCATCTCCTCATCAAACAATAGTCCATATATCTTGCCCAGCCTTGCATGTAACTGTGTATATACCTTGCTTCCATTTCTCTATTTGAAACAAATATTGTATCCATACCAACCTGTTTTAGCCAAAATTGATCCATGTATGCATGTGAAAACAGTGCACCCAACTGATGACTACTCCAGTGATGAATTTGTGAAACCATTGTTGACCATAGCCAATTCCAGTCACAAAACACTCTCATGTTATGCATATGACACATATATATACCTGCATTGCCTTATAAAATAAAAAATCCACATGCATTCCCAATCGTCCCCAGTGTCTAGAATATTTGCTCATAGGCGGACATGCACTGTTTGAACAATAATTCATGTGTCTTCCAATTATATTCCGATGAAGTCTTAGCATGAAACCACTCTTGGGATATTGTAGTAATGGAATGCATTGATTTTTTATTCTGCAATACATCCATTAGTCCCATTTATGACCTCCTAAGAAGCTTACCTCGTATGATCTCCAAGACTAAACTGTTGGGCAGAAGCCTTTTGCTGCTTTCCAAAACATATGTTGCCTTGCTAGAGTAAGTAAGCTTGATGAGTTAAACTTGAATCCCATTGTGCTAAGGTATTGGTTCTTGATCATTTGCTTCCTACAAGCCAACATAACACTGCCAATCCCTAGCTTCTCCTTCTTGAAGTTAAATTCCATGCTTGTGCCTACCATTGATACTCCTTCAACGGAATGAGCACTAAGTGCTAATACCACACATTGAAGTCGTATGGAATGGTAAGGCATGGCTACAGTAGCATCACCTGCAAAAATGAAAACGAAGTTAGTAGTAACAATGACCACCATGTTCTCCTCCCTAAGGACTTGAGCATGGTGATCTACTACATTCTCCAACCCCCTACTACTCCTTTCATCCTCATCTCCTAACCCCTTGCAACCCTTACTCATAGATATGGACATTGTAATTTATCACTATTCACAATCCTTCTACCTTGTACCTCCAATTGATCGAAGCCATGTGCTTCCATATAGCCATTATCAAGAGCATAGTTAGCTAAATAGTCAGCCAATTTATTGCCCTCCCTCATAATATGTGTGACTCTAGCAATGCATCTCTCCATTATACCTTTGATTTCTTCAACATATGTTGCTACTGTCCAAGGTGCAATCCATGTGCCATCAACTACATTTTTCAATATCATGGAGTCCGTTTGCACCCCGATATGTGCGTAACCATGCTGCCTGCAGTATCTCAATGCTTCAAGAATAGCAAGGGCTTCAGCTTCAGTGTTGATAACCTCCTAGATTTCCCTCCCCATTGCATACTTTACATCTCCTTCTTCATTCCTTAATACAAATCCAATCGAACTCTTGTGCGGGTTACCTCTTGATGCCCCATCTGTATTGACTTTTATCCACCCTTGAGTAGGAACTTCCCACATAACTTTAGTCACTTCAAACATGGAGTGTAATTCTCCATCATATGCAATAAATATGGCCATTTGTGTGGAACATTCTGCAAACTTGACTTCCTCGCTTTGACTAAGGCTTGTAGTGTAGATGATACATGATATATAACTTTACTAATTGATATCGCTTCCCCAGGCTTATAACTATTCCTCCTCTTCCAGATTTTTCACAAAATGATGGAGGGTGGTACATAAAATATAGGTTTAAGTCTTGGCACAACCTGGACAATCCAACATTTAGTTACTGCATGTTGCAAGGAGATCCCTTCCATTGATATTCCTGCATTTGAGAGAAAGTAATACCAAATAGTGTGAGTTGCATATGATCTATAGAAAACATGAGCTAATGTCTCCTCGTCTGGATTTCGATAGCACCAACACCTCGATGGCATAAAATAGCCCCATCTCCTAAAGTGATCATCAAGTGGTAGCCTTGCTTTCCAAACCTTCCACGTGAAAAAAGCAGTCTTAAAATGCAGCCCTTTCACCCATATATTTTTAAATGCAATCCTGGGATCTCTTCTCCTCCTAGTGTATTCCCAAGCATATTTGACTGTGAATTTACCTCTAGCCTCCAACATCCAATAAGGTCTATCTAATTCGTCATGCATTACTGGAGGCTTAATATTCTCAATGATATGAAGTGTAAGATCATGAGTTAAGATGTCCATAAGCATGTCCTCATCCCATTCTCCTTCCTCCACCACATCGTACACATTATGAATAACTTCATCACAATAAAAATCCTGTGGAGTAATGAAATATAATGCTCCTAATCCTGTCCAATTGACAAACCAGAAAAGTGAGGAGCCCATTCTTGGTTGCCATATTATCTTATGCTCAATGTTATCTCTACATTCTAACATCTTCCTCCAAATGTATTATCCATTTCTCCATTGTACTACTATAGTTTTTAACTTCTTGCAATATTTTTGACTCATGAAAGAGCTCCATAAGGTAGGTTTATTTCTAAAATTTCACCAAAGTTTACAAAATAAAGCTTTGGAGATATCATGTAATGATCTAAACCCTACTCCTCCTTCTTCACATGGCAAGCTTAATGTATCCCAAGAAGCCCCCAGTGCATTCCTTTACCACCTATTGCATTACTCCAGAAAAACTGTGCAAACATCTTGTGCAACTTATTAATGACAAATGAGGGAGGGTTCATTGATGACAACAAATGTATTGGCATGCTTTTCAACACATGTGTTATCAAAATTGCTCGACCACCAATAGAAAGAAGTTTACCTTTCCACGATTGTAATTTGTCTAGAATTTTGTTGATGAGGCCATGATAGTAGTTTGTTCTCCTTCTTGCATAAAATATAGGGCAGCCAAGGTATGTGAAGTGGAACTCCTGCCTACCTATTCCTATGATCCTTTGAAACTTATTCACCACTGCACTGCTTGTAGAGTGATGCATGTATACTGTTGATTTAGCCTTATTTATCAACTGCCCAGAAGCCACCTCATAAGCACTCAAAACCTCCATGATCAATTGTAATGAAGTTGCATCTGAGGTTGAAAAATTATGGTATTGTCTGCATATGCAAGATGATTGATCCTTGGACTCCATTTTGGTAACCCAAACCCACATAAGTAAAGATTCAAGTGAAGTGAATTCAATCCCCTTGACAATGCCTCGGCAGCTAGAATGAATAGAGTAGGTGACAAAGGGTAACTTTGTTTAATTCCTCTGGTGGATTTGAAAAATCCATAGGGCTGGCCATTAATCAACACTGAGTACCAATTGTTTGCAACAATGCCATAAACAATCCCAATGAATCTCTCATAGAAGCCCATTTTCCTCAGCATTTTAGTCATGAATAGCCAAGATAGTCTATCATATGCTTTGGTCATGTCTAACTTGATCACCACATTTAGTCCTGCCCTTGTTCTCAGTCTAATATCAGTTATTATTTGTTGAGTCAATAGCACATTCTCCACAATACTCCTCCCTTTAACAAATCTAGCATGTTCATTTGATATAAGTGTAGGTAACAAGTTGACTACTCTTTCATGGATAACCCTTGAGAACACCTTGTTAATAAAGTTGCTAAGACTTATAGGTCTCATTTTAGAATATGTGACCACTTCCTTTTAAATAGGGAACAATACTAAGTTTGTGTGCGTGATAAACTTAGGTAGTTCCTGGCCATTGAAAAAATCTTTCACCATAGCATACACATCATCTCCTATGATCTCCCAGCAGTAATGAAAGAACTTTCCACTGAAGCCATCAGGTCCTCCTGCACTTTCCCCATTTAGCCCAAACACAGCGTGTTTGGCCTCCTCTTTTGTAGGTTGTCTTACCAAATCTTGGTTATGCTCCATAGTGACCATATTAGGAACATGATCAATGATCCCAAATGCAGTAGGGACAATATCTTTACGAAACTTAGCAGTAAAGAATCTTACTGCTTCTTCAGCCATTTGTGCATTGCCTTCAATCCAGTTTCCTTCTGCATTTTGAATCTTCTTCAACTGCAATCTTCTTCTCCTCCCATTCACTTGAACATGAAAGAATCTATTATTGCGATCACCATCTTTAAACTAGGTCATACCAGATTTCTGCTTCCAAAATTCTTCCTTAAGTGATAAGAATATGATAGGTTATGCTTGTACTTTATAAAGTCTTTCCCTATTAATCTGAGTAGGATTAAGTTCAAATTGAGTTTCATGCACCATCACCACTTCTTCTAAGCTAGCAATTTTCTGAAAAATATCTCCATAAGTAGCCTTGCTCCATGCTAATAATGCCTTCTTTAACTTCTTCAATTTGTGATTGAATATGATAAAGAGATTAGCACTAAAATCAAGCTGCCAGTTTTCCTTCACTACATCTTGAAAAGTCGCATGATCTATCCAAAAGTTTAGGAATTTGAATTGCTTGTTAACAGGAATAACATCTGGATCACACTTGATTAACAAGTGGTTGTGGTCATATCCAATTTTGGACAAGTGCGTGATCTCCAACCCTAGGAATAACTGTAGTAATTTATCATTAGACAGCACTCTATCCAGCCTTTTAAATATAAAATCAACCTCAACTCTACCATTCCACCATGTAAAAATGCTTCCTTTGAAACCAAGATCATGAAAATTTCACGTATTGATACAATGCCTAAAGTCATCTAATGCATTCAAATCTACTGGAAGTCCACCAAATTTCTCCTCCTCATCCCAAATTACATTGAAATCCCCACTAACAATCCATGGAGATATCATATCGCTAGCCAAAGCATACAGTGTATCCCATAATTCTATTCTCTCTATGGCATCACATTTGGCATACATTAATGTAAGTATGATCTCTTTTTGCGAATTAAAGTCAAACAACTTAAGAGTAAGTTGTTGAACTATGTCAATAAGAATAGTAACCTCATAATCATCATCAACAAAGGCTCATATTTTATTAGAAACATTCATAATAGTCTGAGCAAAACCAATCCTTCTTCTATATATTTCCAGTTTCCTCACTTGTTGCATTGGTTCCATCAGCCCCACAAATCTAAATTGATGTTGTTTATGCATTGTAATAAGCCTTTCAAAGGCTTTCTTGGTATTTACAAAACTAATATTCTAAATGATAGCATTCATAGCTAAACATTGGATTTAGAGATTGTCCATCTTGTTTGCACTCCAGTGCCAGGGACACTAGTGTTTTCTTTTTGTTGCCTCTTCTTGCCTTTGCCAACTGATTTCACCTTCTCTATTTTCCTGGGAGATAGATCACCTTACCGTACCACATTCATGAAGTTCTGGGCATTTGATTCCTCATCCATGTCCTTTCCATTTCTTGCATCATTCTCTTCTTCTTGGATCACTTGTTGTTGCTTTGTTATCTGATTCTTCCAAGGTTTAGGGACTACTAATTTAGCTACCTTTTGATCCATAGGAGCTGGGGATACATTTGTTACCTTTTTTTCCAGCTATGTTGGTGTCCTTAGGCATCAAATAAGGCCTAGGGTTTACTGTATCTAGGGTTGCATCAGGTTGTTTAGGGCTAGGGTTACTTTCTGGAGTTTGTGCTGGTGGATTTGGACTTTTAGGTTTGTCTGGAGGTTTAGGATTAGCTCAGCATCTCTCTTAACACTTGATTCTATGACTGTGCCACCCTTATCACCTGCAGGATGTTCATCTGTAGGTAATACTTCCTCATCATGATCATCTTTATCAACTAACTGTACCACATCTTATAGATCTTCACCACATGATTGAATACCATCTTCTACATCTACCTACTCATTTTCAGAGTGAAATTCACCTTCTTCTTCAGATTCTTCTTCTACCTGTTCAGTCTATAATCATCCTAGTTGCACATTGTCAGTAACTTAATTCTATGAAGGAACCTCTTGGCAGGACTGATTAGTTGTAACTAGTTGAGGAAAATATGCTCCTTTTTGTTCCTTGTTAACACTATTAGCATTGTGGTCATTACGTTGGACTACATTAATAGGTACAAAGGTCCTATTCACCCATTGATCTGTTGATTCTTTTTGTCTCCTTCGGTAGTTCCATTCCCATTCGTCTTAGGACTAGCATTCTTTCCTTTTTCCAGCTTGTTAATCCCAGTTGAAGCAGGCATGAAGACAGCAGCCATTGGGTTCAATCTCCCAATTTAAATAGGATTAGGTCTAGGGCTTCTTTGAGTAACAGTTTTCACCACCAAAGCCAACTGATTATTGTCTTCCTTCTCCACTTCTTCCACCTCTACAGTCACGAATGTGTTTGTTGTTTGAACCTGCTGGGCACCACCACCAACTGGGATAATTTCTTTCCCAGTTTTATTTTACGAATCATCCTGTTTTCCGGTGTTCTTTACACGATTGTCCCTCACCTCTTTCCACTGCTCACCAACATTACCAACTACTCTTCCACTTGTAAATATCATTAATGGACCCTTATTTTTCTTCTTTTCTTCAACATTACCAGTTGCAACCTGTTTGTCTTTGTCATGAACCATTAATTCTGGATGTAACCTCCAACAATCAATCTCACCATGACCTTGTAGCCTACACTCTTTGCAATATTTAGGTAGAAAATCATATTGAATTTTCACCCATTCCGTCCTTATTTCCCCAGTAGATTCATTCTCTAATTCCACAGGCACTTTCTTGGGCAAGTCAGTTAGAATATCAACAAGGACTTTAACTCTAGCACAACTAGGTCGTGTTTTATTTGTAGTAGCTATATCGAGGTGTAATGGTTTCCCTACTGCTGAAGCTAAAGAGAACACACATTCCTTCACAAAATACGTTGGTAACAAGCTTAGAAAAGATATCCAAGCCATAGCCATTGGAGTTTCTTCCCCTACTTTAAACTTTGCATTATAAATTAGCAGCCTCATTTGATATTTATAACCATCCTTAGCTCTAACATAATAAGCACTCTTTGACGTAAGATTAATAAAATATTCCCATAATGTCAGTCTAATAAGCACATGCCTATCTCTAAAGAAGCCAACATTGCATTCACCTTTGATTCCACATTGAGATGGGATAATTCTACATAACTCTTATAATTCTGGCCATTCATAAGAGAACTTACCCACAACTGTGTATTATAATCCTTCAATGATATTCATACGATCAACTTCTGCTTCTGTAAACTTGACAAGAGGTTATCCATGCAAGAATGTAGTGATGATAGTACAAATGTATTTGTGAGATCACAAATCTTATGATGTGTCATGTGATTTGATAAAAATTCTTATTTTCAGAATTTGTTGGCAAAATGACACTAAGGAAAATCTAATAAGTTTTATTAACACTTATGTATTGATGAGAGTACATATGTTTGAGCGCTAAAGATAAATTTTCATGAAAGAGTATTCCTTTCGAAATTTGAAAAATATAGTAGAACTCGTTATATATTTAAAAGGTTAATGTTAAATTACTAAAGGCTTTAGCATGAAAAGGGTAATTCATTTGATTTTATTCAAATAATTTGGATTGGATTGATAATCATGATTTAATGAAAATAGATCCTTTGAAGCTGTTAGACTATGAATTTATTGTTGATATGCCAAAATTTTGGGAGTTACTAGTGTAGGCCATAGACATTGGTTCGAATATTGAGTTCGTTACCATGGAACTACATGTGCGGTGTAGGGACGCATTCATGCTACGCTGAGGTTTGTGGGATAAAGTCCTCCATTGTGGGGGGAAATTATCATTACTTAAAGTAATGAGGTAAAGTCGACTCGTACGACACTACGGGAAGTCATCCAGACAAGTAGGGTCAAATACTTGTTGCTTGGTTGATCACCTAGTGGTGTTTATTATGCTGGTGTTGATATAGTACTCCCGATGAAACGTAAAAGAGGACTTTCTTATGTTTAGGCCTAAGGAGATAAAAATAATTTCAATTATTTAATGAAATTAAAATGGTTCTATATGATTTCTACTAAAATCTTGGATTTATATAAATTTTCTAAAAACTTATATCATGGCGTACATTTCACTTGTCTTTTTATTTAAAATGATAAAGAGCATGATCTATATAACTGTTTATACTTTATAGTAACTATTGGTTGCATATTCTTTCATAAATATTGTTCCAGAAACTTGAGTTAGAGAGAGTATATAATACTAATTGAGTACCGTGGTGGTGTACTTATCCCTCAGGGGCCCCATTCCAGGGCTCCGCTTACTTTACAGGTTTCATGATGAGGAATGATAGACATGCTAACAGGGTTAGGCTGACTCTTTTCCCAAGGTATATGGTGAGGCACCACTCCTATTTCGTGGTACCTATCATGTTGCTTTCTTATATTGTGTTAGTCGGGCATTGTGCAAGTGTTTAGTTCTATTTCTTGGTATAGAGGCTCAATAGATAGTTGAAATGAGTTATAGTAATGGGATTTGAAAATATATTTTGTTTTATTTGGTCTCAATATTATTATGAAAGGCTTCATGTATGATTTTTGTCATGACCAAATTCTCACTTCAAGGCCGTGTGGTACCTAGCAGAACTTGCTAAGCACGCCAACTCACAATCAATAGATAAAGTCCATTTTCATTACTTAACACAGATACATAATAATTAAAGATTGATATAGTCTCAAAACAATAATAATATCTGATAAAAACCCAAGTACAACCTTAACACGATCAATACGGTATGCCTCAAGACTAGGTGGCAAAAGTACACGAGCAACTACGAAAATGAGATCAAGTCTGTATACATGTCGAGCTATCTGAAATACAAATAATAAAAGGAACATGAACTTGGGAACTACAAAGTAGATCCATGAAGTGCAACTCATCCTAAGTCTCCGTGAAATCTCCTAGCTCAATCAGGAAGCTCTACTAGGACCCACCTACTGATCTATACAAAAAGATGTGCATAAACGTATTATGAGTACACCACAATCGATACTCAGTAAGTACCAAGTCTAACCTCGAAGAAGTAGTGGCGAGGCGCTTCTGAATATTTACCACACTGATATAATAATAAAATTAAGAACTGAAATAATAAATAATATCATGAATAACAAAAAGCCACAAATATCATTAGTTGAAAGGTATTAAGCATGCTTTTCTAGCACAGAAATAACTGTAATGCTACTCATATATAGAAACAAAAGATAGCATGATCAAATAATGGAGCCGAGACTCCCAGTTAACATATAAGAATATCAAGTAACAATTAACAGTGAAATAAACACTTTAAAACGAGCCAATAATAAGAATGCGTGCTCGACTGGTACAAGATCCACGTACCCCGATACACAATTCATGTATCAACATAACCCGATATAAAATCCATGTACCAAACCGGTACAAAATAAATGTACTAACCACACTCATAGGGCCCAAAGTAACATGGGTTATCACCTGACTCCGGAGGGGTAGATCGAAATCCAAGCGCAAAGAGGGGCATAATAGCATCCCTCATAAATTAATAACCGATCATCACGTCCAATATGCCATAACTGTATTTCATCTGCACGCTTAGCCTTCATGCCCAAAAATCCATTATCCAAAATGTAAATATATGCTCAAAAATTATAGATAAAAGGTGCACAAGGACTTAATAAATATCATATGGATATGTGCCCATGAAATCTCTATGTGACTACAGATAATTATGAAATTCAACATATCAAGAATAAGTTCTCATGCCTTCATAATTAATCATAAGCCTAGGAATGATTTCTAACATGAGTAAGATAGCAAGCATAGTCACATAAGTTAAATAATTCATGATTAAAATGAGCACATAGTAAAAACAAGGCATAAAATATTCAAATTCTACCCCGGTCATGATATAAACTCGGTAAATGCATATAT